TAGTGTGTATTTTAGATAAGGATGGAGAGAATGCTGAGTAAATGAGAGATGACTACTTGGCACCATAAGCTGTTGTATTTCCTTAATATCAGTAAGCCATTTTCTTAAGAATAGCAATCCATCAGCCTTTAAGTATCTCACCAAGCAGCAGGCAGCCCTGTCCACAGTATTTGTAGCAGCTTCTCACATGCTAAAGGCACTTCTGTGTTTTCAAGAAAATGAGGCCAGACACAGGTCTGAACAGAAATGCTCAAAAGCTGTCCAAAACAGTGTCTGCAAACAGAAGCCAGGAAAGAAAGAGGTGCCACTGTTATTAAGTACACAAACGTAACTAGACCATAAGTAAATGGAAATCAAGGCAGGAGAAGTGCTGTCACTTTCACAAGAGAAAAGGATATTGTTGCAAGAGCTGTTGCTGGGGTCAAACACTGCAGAGCTGCTGAACTCTGGATGCTGAAGTCATGTATAGTGAGTTTAGTAGGGACTTTGTCCCATGTTAATAAGCAAGTGGGTTCATGCTGCTGCCAACAGCATACCCACTACAAACTGTGGCACAGCTGTAGAGTGCTTACGGGCTCGGGTCTGGTGAGAAGCACTGGACTTTCAGAAGCTGCTAACAGTGCTGTTATGTGAAGCTGGTATTTGAATCAAGAACTATGGAATGATCAGCTGGAGCCCTGCAAAAGCTCTGGTGCTCTGTGCATCACATCAGAACCACAGATCAAGTCCACCTGCTGCAGCCACAAGTGACCCTGAATCATGTTCCACTGACAACATGCTGTACAAGCACTCCCACTCCAAAATTAGGGCTGTCACAGCACTTTCAGCCATCTCAGCGTCTCCTCAGTGAGGCAGGTTGTAGCTCAATCAAAGCTGGCACGGTAGCCAGAAATGCCGAGGGTAAGGGAACACTGCTGTCTGACCAGCTGTGAATTTCACTGCCTGCTTCTACAGCTATTCCGAGGAGCCCAGGTTTGGCCAAGCAGCAACAGAGCAACCACAGTGATAGTCCTCTGGGTTGTTTATTTGGTGCATGCACTCCCAGGAATGTCACACAGCATAGCCCTGGGGAACAGCAGTGCAAGGAGAGGACTTTAACAGAAGACTGAAGTCCTACATCAGTGCCATGACTGTTGGCTGGGGCATTTCTTAGCACTGGTTGGTCTCCATCTTACAAGTGACACTGGATTACGCTGTGAAACAGAGACCCTCCGAGGTCTGAGTTTATGGATCTCAAGATGGTTCCTGTGTCCAGGCTATCGGCCAGCAGCAGTTCAGTCACACCCAAACCCATGTCTCCAGTGCCTGTTACAGAACACTTCCTCACCCAGAGAAATGAGGCTTCCAGGAGCAAGAATGCTGATGGTAGTGGAGCTTCAATGTTTGTGCTTGACAGCCACCAGAAAGCTATAAAGCAGTGGGACACCCACTGTCTTGTTAAAACCATGGGGGAAAGAGCAGGCATTAAACAAGCTTCCCTTTAAAATAACCAACCCTTAGGAAGCCTTCCTCCAGCTCCTGGGGTCAGGGAGAGGTTTCCTGTAGGTAAGGTGAGAACATGTGGCAGTTGGGTAGTCCTCGGACCCACTAAAAGAATAAATGGATGTGAGCACTTGCAGTGGTTTCCCCAGCACTTTCTCAGAAAGCATACAGAAAAACCAGGGGGCTGCTGAGGAGTTTTGCAACTTCATTTAGAGCTGAAAAATCATCAGACTGTAGGATGTGTGCACAGGTCCCAGGGAAGGGAGATGCCCAGCCAGTAATGTAGGGCTAGGGAGGAAAACTTTCCTTCCACATACTCTGACATCTGGGAGATGAATACTGGTTGTACCTTCAGGTTTTTTTAAAGAGCAGGTCAGCAAAGTACATTCAGCCTCTCACCCAAGCTGTCCCTTTCTAAAGGCCTATTCACACACCCCACAGTGCCATGTCCCAACTCCTGCATTTTCACAGGTACTTGTAAAAAGACAGATGAGTGACCAAAAATTTCCATGAGCAGAGGAGATGTGAGTTAAATCAGCCACCAAAAATAAGCCACCTGGTTCCTCCCCAGCCTCCTGGGAGAAAGGCAAGTCCATCTGGCAGATCTGAGCCCCAGTGCAAGTTTCCAGAGCAGGAGCTAATCACTCCCTGGAGGAATAGCCAGGAACACTGGGAAACAAGAACAAAGCAGTTTTTCAGGGCCTGATGACATTCTTTAACCTGTAGGCTGTATCTTGTTAAGATTCTATTATCACTGTTTTTCGAATTTTATTTTCTCTACTGAACATGAGATGATTTAACTAAAAAAAAAAAAATGAAAAAAAGAAAGACTCCTCAGCTGTGAAAATCCACCATCCTTGGCAATAACAGGACTGCAGACATTGCCTGCGCGCCCAGGCAGTGCTAAACTTGGGCTCCCAGTATGCAATGGAAACTTCCAAAGCTCCTGCCAAAAAGGGTGATGTTTGATGTTTTTCTGTCCACTCTTGAGGTTATTACATATATGCTGCTTTAATTCTTGTGTGAAAACGTGCTAAATGAGCAATTCTGAAGCGTCATCCTCTTCCTGCTCTTTGATATTGGTCTGACACCTGGTATGAATGGCTTTTGTTTCAAGCCGGGGAATGTATCTGAAATTGTCATGACAGCAGTGCAGGGGATTAAAAGAGCCTGGCCACATACAATCAAATAAACACAGAACTAAAGCGGTTTCACTTCTGTTTTCAGGCGCAACAAAGACAATTAATGCTCATAGCAGATGCTTAATATTTTATTTGAATAATTGACATTATTTAAAATAAAATTTGCTACAGAACTCTGGTAGAATTTGTTTTATAGTAAATGCGATCAAAATGCCAGTTTGATTGATTACATAAAGATTAATTGGGGCTGGGAATGGGTAGAGATCCCCTTCAGACCTGGCCTGTTGACATGGCTGGTGTTTCACAAGCTGTCCTTCAGCCACTCGAGGCCAACCTGAAAAACCTTTGCACCAGGTTTTGCTGCACCACCAGCAGAATCCACTGTCTGCCAGCACGCAGAGCTGCCCTGCCACATGCCGTGCAGCAGAGCTGCTGATGTAGGCCCTGGGGTGCTCCAGCAGACAAAGAAGTCACCCTCAAAACAAGGCAGTGAGCACAGGAGCACTTTTCATCCCACTGGGCAGAGTGGAAGCCCTCAGCTCAGAGCCCTTGCCAGGCTGCTGCTCTTCAGAACAGTCAGGAGGCAGCTTAGGGAGTCTCTGGCTCAAAGGACAACCACCAGTTTTGGCTCTGCATACATACTTCTCCTCACAAGCCTTTCCACCAAGGCATCCAGGCCTTGGTACGTGGCAACAGCTATCACATAAAGGCAGAGCAACCTCTGACAAAGTTAGAACAGTGCCAGGTATGTAAATCAGGTACATAAATCAATCTGACATGAGAAGCTACAGTCCTGGAGTAACTAGCGATGCACAGCACCCAGAACAACACTGAAGTCTCATCACATTGTGTCACTTGTTACATGGTTCTTTAGAAGTGCCCCTCCCCTAAATCACCATGTTAATCCCCACACTCCATGGTCTTCCTTTCTGTGAGAGGTTGCCCAGAAACATGCTTCCAGCCTTCAGCTGCAGAAAGTCCTCCTCAGACAAGTTTCAGCTTCAGCCCCACCACTATAAACTGGTGAAGCTGAACACTACAGGATGCAATGCAAGGCAATCTGCCCTGGTCGTACTCATGATCCATCTCCACATCTCCTAGGTACTGGCCAGCTACACATCTCCTCACCATCATTTTAAATAATGTAATTAACATAGTTGAGCACCCCACAGAGAATTCCAGGAGTTAACACTGGACTTGGATTAGATGTTTTGGTCATATAAAGTTTAACAACCTAATGTCTCCTTCAGAGTCCTGATGAGCCAAAACCTCCTACTGAAACACCTACTCAGGCAACGAGCCAAGCAGTCTTCCCCTCCTGAAGTCCAATGCTCCCAGCTCCATGCTGTAACATGAGTTTGGATCCCGAGAGTTGGTTTTTGTAACAGCACAAAAATAAGCCACAGGAAAAAGCAGCACATTCCACCACTGCAGCTGTCCAGAGCAGAGGACTGCTCCTGTCCAGAGACCTCAGTTGTTCTTCCCAACATGGACAGTGTTCATGTGTGCCTACAGGAGCAGGCAGGATCCAGCAAGTTCTTCATCTGCTGAAGCCAAGTAGCATGAGAGATGGGAACCATGACACAGGGAGTCATATTTGAGGGTTTTATTAGTTGTTCTTCTGCAGAATCAAAATATTTAGCAAATTACTTTAAAGATTCCTCAAGACTGCTGATACTTGATGTATTTAGAACTTGAACAATGTACAACTTAATACTTTGAGCTATCAAAACCAACCCAAAACTAGATTTCTAGTACTAGATGTTATAAGGTAATTCTATAGCAGTGTGAGAAATGGAACTAATGCAGTGAGTATATTTGTTTTAAAGAAAAGTGCTTGAAAGAAACCTCCTGCATCACACAGAGTATTATGTAAAATGAAAAGATAACTGATCTCCTAGCAGGGCATTGTCTTAAATAGCCTACAAGCCTGGGGGATTAAGAATACTGAGCCCCAGCTCTCTGCCTTCAGGTTCAAGAACCAACACAAGCTGCAGATCCAGGCAGAGTTCACAGCTTACCTGTTTCGAGAGAACTTACACACCACTCAGCATTGGCAGAAGTGCTGGATGCATGGGTAAAAATAAAACCAAACCAAACCAAACGAAAACCCACAAGAGGAACTGCTTCTCTCTTTATGCATAGCGACAGCTTCTGAACCAGTGTTTTACTAAGTTGCAGACTTTCGACCAAAAAAATAAAACTCCATTGCACTAAAGGTCAAATTTACCCAGTTAATCTGGACTGTGACACAGTCAAGTAATTCAGTACAAGCAGACAAGACACCATGAAAGCAGCTTCAAAGAACCAAAGCATCCTAGTTTCAGAACCAAATTCTTCTATTTCTTCTGTCCAACTCCAACGCAACAGTGAGCAGAGGAAACCACTCCTGTATCTACCTATGTACAATTCCAGTAGAGGCTGGGCAGCCTAAACTCTCCGTGGCCAAGCTGGAAAAAGGAAACTTAGGAAAGGACACTTTAAAAATTTAATTTAAGAAAGAAAGTCGGCTTTCAGTGGAAAGAGAAATGCTAGAGTGATGCACGCGGGCGGGCTTGCTCAGTCACTCTCCCCTGCATGTGCAAAGCCGGGCTCCCTCCTGCAGAGAGCAAGTCACACTGGATGTGGAGGTGGCAGGGCTGGCCCTGCTCCGCTGCACGCCAAGAATCCAGGAATGTGTTTTCAGCTGGCTCCTGCGCGAGCCATTAGATCTTCCAAAGCGTTGTGTCGGTCGTTGTTATGTAATAATAAGACTTCCTTAATGTCTTTTAGTTCAAAGCCCATTTCTTTAAATTGACTCATTAGCTGGAGGAGTTCTGTGATCTGAAAGACACAGACAGCCCATTATTTGCAAGGGGAAAGAGGATGATCGGTGCTTGATGGAGGTTTCACACAGAGACTGTCTTCAGCGACTTGGGCAGCCCATGGGGTGGATGCCTGTTCCCTAAGTACAGCCCTTTCTGGCTCTGCTGGAACAAGGTCACCCACATCAGAGCCTGCAGAGCCTCACCTGTGTCTGCAGCCCTGCATTTCCAAAACCCTCTTCAGCAACAGCACCACAGCTCAGCCTGTGGGGGCCTCTCTCCCAGTGTTTTTCTCTCCACATAAGGAAATTTACCAGCCTGGCCCAATTTGGGCTCCCCAAAATGGTGATTAATGGCACCCTGCTCCCCCATTCAGCATCCTGCTGCATCTGAATTAAGTTACTCCGACTTCAGGAAAAGTGCAGTATCCCTTGCTATCAAATGGCTTCCCAGAACTAGGGCAGACCTGGGGAATTAGCACAAACCCTATAGGACACATTGTCATCAACCATGAATCCTCCATGAGCTTTTGAAAAATTAAGTGACCACAAGTGGATGAGCTGGTCAGAACCCTCTGCCATTTACATGGCCTTGGCTCCACTCCAGGGGAAAGAAAAACCAAAAAGAAGCAAGCAGGTTGAAATGCGTGATCAGGAGATTGGACATTTCCAAGTTTAGGGTTAATCCAGTATCAAATGTGTTTCCTGAAATCAGTCACTTCTCCCATATTTGCACTGTCATTCCTCTGTTTGCAAACTTATCACTAAGTCAAATAAAGGCAGGAAGGCATATATAAGTATGTTGGGGGTGGGCTGCATCTCTAAAGCATGCAGGTTGTTTAAAGTATCCTGCTATCCTCTGCCCTGGCTACCTGCTCCTGCCTCTGTACCTTTGGTGTTGACGAAACAGCCAACCAATGAACCAGATCCAAAAAACGGATTTCCCAGCTCCCAGAGCAAGCCCTAACCCAATTCGCTGAGCAGCCTGGCAGATGCATTCATACAAGGGAGAAAATCCACGGCCAGGGCACACTGGCAGGGTTTGAAAGAGAATTTGCTGCTTCTGAAGTTAACTCTCTCAGTACCAAGCACCTTGCACACAAGAGAGTCTGGGTTCAAACATTACAACCAGAAATAAGCAGGGTCTCAAAAAAAAAATCCAGTCCCCATAAAAATGCATGCAAGTGAGAGCAATAAAACAATACAGAAGAATTCTAATGCTTTAACACATATTTGCTTTATCGTCACAAAGATGTCCTTTTGCAGTCAGTTTTGGAAACAAGGCATCATTACCATAAAAGCCAGAATTACATCAGCCAGAGGAACTGCTGCTGGAATTCCCCATCACTGCATATTCTCTCTGTGGCTTAGCACACTGTGCCCTCACCTTCTCCTCTGAACATTGATGCATTTCCAAAGCTGCTTCAACAAGAAGTGGATCAAAACCCTTCTCACAGAGCTGTCCATGTGCAAACAGGTAATCCAGAACCTGTGGGGAACAAAGGAAAACTAAGTTTACAGAGTGGCGTTTGCAGCATGCGGTTGAACACCATCTCGGTACACAGAGAGGGGCTGAGCACGACTGCCTGCGGCTGCACCAGAGAATCAGATGAAGTCCTTCCTAGTAGAGCTGGGATGGTCTTTATGCAAGAGCTTGTTCAGAGAAAACAGAAAAGCCCTTCTGTCCTTCTGTGTTCCTCCACCAGCTCTGAACGTCATCTTCCACTTGAGTCACAGCAGCTTCAGAAGCCTATCTTTAGCCTTCCATGTCTGATCGCCTAGCAGAAGGCGCACATTAAACTGTGCTTTTTATACTACAAGTTTTTAAAGTGAAACTGTAGGTCCAGCAGCCAAGATGTGTCAGCTCTGAGCTTCCTCTCAGACAGCCACAAGAGCTGATGCTATCTGAAAGCAGTCAGCCTTTTAAGATCAACTCAACACACTGGTAAGGGAGCTGCAAATCCCTGCTCACTCACCCAAAAACCACTGCCAGATTTCTTACCTGTCCTCAGCTCTGAGGTACAGGGAAAGGTCAGATTCGTAATGCTGCCTGCAAATACAGGAGAATTTAAAACAACCCTCCTAAAGGACTTTTATTCCATTTGATACTACAGTTCACTCCAGTGCACACACTAAACCACTCTCGCTGTGTAGGTAAATCAGGCAACACATCAGCTCCACAAGCAGAAGTCCCTGGGCCACCCCTCCGCCCCAGGCACAGTCCTCTGTGCACCACAGCCAGCCTAGGGCCAGCATGGAAAGTTAAAAGAGGCCATGTTCTGCCTGCTTTAAAAGGTTTGTTTGAAGCTGATCCAAGTGTCAGAGCCACGCTTCACCCTGCAGCGCTTTATGCTCTGTGACCTGGTTTTAGCAAGTGTTTGGGGCAGCACATGAGGCAGGAAGCACCACAACCAGGGCATGCAAAAAGAAAGTCGGTCAGTGGTGCCTCCCAAGAGCTGCTGTAAGCCTGCAGGGGCCAATCTCTCTGCAAGGAGACACATCAGCATCATAACCTCGTGTGCTCAGAACAAGGGAAGACGGCTGCATTTTTGTCACACGGCACCAAGCACACGTAGAGCTGCACTAAACTTCCTTTGGATGGCTCTGTTGGCTTCTGGGAAGACCCAGTACCTCTCCCACCTTCATGTGCAGCTAAGGGCCCACCCCAAGCTCAGCACAGCAGTGGCCCAGCGCCCCAGAGGTATGGCTGACTCAAGCAGTCTCTCATGACAAACAGGCAGAAACATTCTTTTGGGAGCCTTTACCACTAGATGACAACTTCTCTAGTGGTTAACATCACAGTGGCTGTGGGCTGCAGCTCCCTGTTAGAACCAAAGTATTCCTCCCTATGTATTTTGCAAACCCAAGGTTGTTTCTTCACAGAATCAGCATCCAAACAAGGGTTTCTTTCCCTCTGCACAAGCTCTTACCTGGTCTATGTTCTGTCCCTTCTTCTTCATGGCTTTCAGGACGTTCTCAGGTGAGTACCCCATGTTCACAACTGTTTCTATGCACTGCCTCTCGCTAGCAGAGAGCGCCTGCTGTAGCTCTGGAGAGGGGCCACCCGGCCACTTTGCACGGCTGGTGTTATTGGGCACTTTAGACACTGGGAAATTTTGGTGTGTTACCTGAAAGGGAAAACCCAGACACTAAGGTGATGGTCATCTTCTGCATCCCCACACTCTGTTGCTGTCTAGCACAGCACCAGGATACCCCATGAATTAATTAATCCAAGATGCTTTCTAGAATGACCTTGGGAAGTTACTCACTGCTAGGAAGACACCAAGAAGTCTGACTCCCACCAGACAACAATCAGCGACCCAGACTCTCCACAATATATCCTCTGCTACCAGTGGGACCCAAAACCTTTCAACACCCAACCTTTGCAAAAGTGAACATCCCTATGACATACCCAAAACCTGTACCTCAGAAGCAGCACGTAGATTGCTTCCTTCAACCCAAGTTTACTCAGCACTACGATCTTCTGTGCTCAAGGGAACACTTCTGGACATTCTCAGAAACACAACCCAGTGCAAGCACATAAGTATTTGTGAACTTACCACAGGGATTTCTGTTTCCTTGTAGTCTGGGTGTACCTGTTGGGCAACACACAAATAAGATGACTGTAAACATTATCCACCAGTGACCAGAGTTTGCTGCAGCAACGAGGAGAGATCCAGGAACAAGGCTACACTCCAATATTGGAGAGACCTGTGGTCTGATCGGTCTTCCCCATGTGAGACACAGACATTACAGAGTTATGTGCAGTTACAGAACAGCCACCAGAAGGATTGTTTCTTCTCTTAGCACACTACAAACAGATTATACTCCAAGAAGTATGTGTGTGGCCCTTGTAACTACTTACTTCTTTACTCAGTCACTGTGATGGCTACAAGTTCATATAGCTCAGTGTGACAGCACTGGCTCCTGTTAAGCTCCTGACCCAGTGCTATGCTTCCTGACAGCAATAATTTTGAAGTTACTGCCCAGAGACTTCAGTTTTACGCATTTTGTAATACTACTTATGCCAACACAGGTTGCTTGAAAACTTGGCCACTTCATTGGGACCAAACTAAACAAGAAAAAAAACCCAAAACTGTTCACTGAAAACCAATCCTGAGAACATCTGTAAGAATTCTGACAAATTCCATTTATTCGCAAAAACACCCAAACCACTACCATTAAGGTGCAGTGGTATATATTCTGAATGGTCCACCAGGAGTGTCCCATGCTGCCATAACCAGAGTTTTCTGTAAACAAAATGCATCATACTAGTCAGGTCTCTGACCAGCTTTGTTTAATTCCAACCAGTTGTCTTCACTAGACTTTTCTCCCTGTGTCAATGCTGCAAAAAGCAAACCAGTGAGCTTCAAAAAACAAAAAGAGGAGGGGGGAGCCACCCAAAACACAATCAGTGAAGCCTCAGAGAATCACAGGCTTATTTACATCAAACCCCTGGATCCAACTCACTGCTAAAGCATAAGCTCCAGTGGCAACTCCAGATCCAAAGTTAAAATATCTAGACTTGTGAGATTACAAAAAGAAACAAAACCCCACTGTGGAATACACTGGGACAAAGAATTCTCCCGAGACTTTCTAAAAGGCTGGGCAGAGATTGTAATAATAGGAGCCTTGAGGAGAAGGACTTCGGGGTGTTAGCTGACAAAAAGGTCAACATGACCTGGCAGTGTGCACCTGCAGCCCAGAAGCCAACCCTCCGCTGCGTTGCATCAAAAGGAGCATGACCAGCAGGTTGAGGGAAGTGATTCTCCCCCTCTGCTCCACTCTCGTGGCACCTTCTCTGCAGTCCTGCATCCAGCTCTAGAGCCACCACCTGCATGAGCAAGACCAGAGGAGAGCCACAAAGATGCTCTGAAGGCTGGAGCAGCTCTGCTCTGGAGACAGGCTGAGAGAGCTGGGCTGGTTCAGCCTGGAGAAGAGAAGGCTCCTGAAGGGGAGATGTTAGTACAGCTCAAGTGCCTAAAGGGGCTACAAGAAACCTGGAAAGGGACTTGTTACAAGGGCTTGCAGGGACAGGACAAGGGGGAATGGCTTTAACATGACAGAGGGGAGATCGAGATGAGCTCTTGGGCAGAAGCTCTGCCCTGTGAGGGTGCTGAGGCACTGGCACAGGGTGCCCAGAGAAGCTGTGGCTGCCCCATCCCTGGCAGTGCTCACGGCCCGGTTGGTCTGGTGGAAGGAGTCCCCGCACGTGTCGTCACAGGGGCTTGGAGCAACCTGCTCTCGTGGAAGGTGTCCCTGCCCATGGCAGGGGGTTGGAACTGGATGAGCTTTAAGGTCCCTTCCAACCCAAACCATTCTATGGCAACTTTATGAAAGGGACAGGCTTATTCTTTTGTAACCTTACAGAAAAGGGATGCATGACCCTTCTGCTCCCAGCCAGAGAGATGACTCTTGACTTACTTCTATAATTCTTATACTCTGAGGATTTTTGTTCCATTTACTTCAGCACTATTTTTGCATTTAATTTGAATTCTTGCAGCTTAGTTGTCATTTTCCAGCCACTGGGACTACGCTGTGTAAACATTAAACAAGTATAATCTGAAGTCTTAGAATTTAAACAAAAAGAACTAGTTCTGTCAGCATACCTATTTCTTGGTATTTCCTAAGAATACACCTTCCCTCCCGTCTTTTAAGTTTTAATCCAGCAGATAGATTTGACTAGTTAAGAGTGAAAATCTGCCCACCTGAATGCCCATATATTTAGCTGTATGTGATCTTTCATGTTAATCCCTCAGAATGTATCATACTTTGAGGTTTCACCTCTGAGCTATGTATGATCAACCACCTCTCTAACCTGTGATCTACAGCAGCAAGCAGGTGCTCAGCACATTGCTGCTTCTGACAGTTCACTGTATTAAATTTGCTCTATTCATCAGTAAAGAGCTGTTCTGATGTGCTCTGACAAATACATTAGTTGCCAGAATACTGTATTTCACCATTAATACTGCATTTACCTAAGCCTGAAAGAGCAACAGGAGAGAAGAAGTATCACTTGTTTTGGAGCACATGGTGTCACACAAAAACCTACAGCATGCCAACAAGGCCACAGAATCACTGAAGCACTGCTTAGATTGGACAGAAGAAACCAGGTTAGCTTACAGCCAGCTAGAGGATTTGACTACAAAGCTTTCATGACACTGGTGTCCAGATCTTGGGTTCTTCAGGAGAAAAGCTCACAATCTTACCCAAATCTCTGCACTTATTCACAAAGAGACAAAGACAATGACTGGTGTGAAGTTAAGTGTCCTCAAAGTCATTTTAGAACTTTCTACAGGTTCCACAGGAAATGAAGTGTCAACCTCCATCTCAGAGCCGCAGGGCAACCAACTAACTATGGAACACTGAGGTGACCTTCAGGACTGCTTGTGGCATCCACCAAGCAATTCTTACAACCTCCTTCACAAGGAAAAGGGTCAACACCGGATTTCAGACCACCAACATTTTCTTCCTTTTAAAGATTAGGTTTTAAAAGGATCTCATGAAGAAATAAAATAAGCTTTAAAGAGACATTTATTTCACTGCTTGTCAACTGCAAGCACCTTTTTCTTTGCTGAATGAAACAGCACATCTGTGTTTTTTAATGTATTACTTCTCTTCCTTGAAAAGCTTGCATTCCCAATTATTTCTAGCAAATAAGCAAGCAAGCCAAGGAACAGATCTAGAAAATATTTGACTCAAAACCTAACAGCATTTAAAAACATATTTCAGTTGGGAAAGACAGAGAATAGAGCTGTGCAAAGAAGGTATCTTACGTGCTTTGCTCAAAGGTGTGAAGCCACAAACAGCGAGAGCTGAAAAGCTGAAAGAAAAATTGCCAGAAGTGGTCTACAAATATAAAATTTTTTGAAAACCTGCAGAGCAATAATCTGAGGTTTCGAATTACAAGCATGAAGCCCTGTTGGACTGATCAATTTGTGTGAATAAAGAGGATCTACACATCACTCCCATTAAATGAACTAAAAGCAAAGCCACAGGACATTTTAGAAATAACATTTGCTGCCACACCTCCACATCTCCCCATCAACCCCAATTCTAATCCATCTTTACCGTAGTCGCTGTGCTTTGAGGTGGTTCTTCTGTACAAACTGTTGACACAGCCAGGGAAGGCAGCCTGGATGAAGAGGATAATGTTGATGTCTCCATGCTACTGTCCTCATTTAGAGCAGAAAAACCAACCACGTGGTGTCCATTCAGTTCACTAGCTTTGCTCTGGGCACAGGTCTGCAAAGAGCTGAGCAAAGTGCCATTGCGGAGACAGGTAGTGCTATGGAAAGTGCTTGTGAGCTTTGATGATTTCTGATCACTCTCATCGGAGTCAAGTTTAGGAAAGGACAGGGATTTGATATTGCTCACTGAAGTGATAGGGGACAGGGACACTTTGGAAGACAAGGACATCTTTTCACAGTTTCCCAACTGCGGTAAAGTGATAAAGCCATTGGGTTTGTGAAGGGGCTTGAAGTCCAATGTGGCCCTTTCTATGGATGCCAGAACTTCCTCATCTTGCAGCACAGACTCAGACCCTCCTTTGGGCAAGGTGTTATCTAACAGCTGGGCAACAATTGGCCCAGTAGTACCAACATGAATTTCAAGAATATTTTTTAATTCCTCCTTATCATCGATAGTTTTTAATTCCAGTTTATCAAATGGGTCTTCTTCACATTCGAAATCAGCCGGGTTGAAGTCTGCTTTTGGACGAGGTGGACTGAGAATCTTCTGCTTCACAGCGCTGCTGTTGGCTGGTGTAGGAGTAAGGATATTATTGTGCTGCAGGCTAGCAAGAACAGGGTTGATAGGAGGAGGCATGGCCTCAGGGCAAGGTCCCTCTGAGAATCCCATCTTGTTGCTGTCCTCTGGAGCTGATTTTGAGCTCGCTAGTCCTTCTGCTTCTGCCTTGCGTTCAGCTTCCCTCTGGGCAGCTTGGATTTTTTTGATGTCTTCAGACCACTCAATTGTTTTCTTTTCAAGTGAGAAGTCATACTGACCAAGGGTGGAGGGGAAAGGAGAAGAAAAAAGTAAGTTATAAGGATCACAGCCATTATGTCTCATAGGAACGTAAGTAACAGAGTAAGAGCTACATGAATTATCATGGGCAGGCATCATTTTTTTACTCAGCATCTCTTGTCAACTACAGACTGGCAAAGCTAGAAGATGCCTGAAGTAGTTTGTTTTGCCTCTAGCAGCAAAGCCTGGCTATAGTCTGTATGAGAATATCATGTTTTGCCTCCTTCCTACATTTATTTTTGCTTTTGAACTACTGAACATCCCAAGATCAGTTTCCCATCCCTCCCACCTTCTCCTCCAACAATGGACATAGCAAGAGCAAATCCAACATGTTACTAGATGGATGATCATGCCAGATCTGGCAACACTGGACTACCCCCTTCCCACAAGCCATTCAAGACTCCAGCACAGTATTTTCACATCCAAAGACTAATCCAGTAATACTCAGTTCCCCCTAAAAGATTCCTAAGGGACCTGATATTAGAGTTTTACACCGACTGGTTAAGAGGTATTGGTATTCTCACCCAGTGCCAATGGCTCACCAGCCGAACCTATTCACTACCAGTCCACTGGCCACCCTAGTGGCCCAGTTGAGAGGATAAAAATCTGAACAGGCTAAATGTACTTCAAGCTTTAGTATCTTATGAAGAATGAACAGCCTCAGATGCTCTTTAATGTGGTTCAAAAACCACAAAATGCTAAGAGAAGACAACGCACAAGCTACGTCCAGGATATAACCTACTTCTGACCCACAGAAAGTCACAAGATATCCTCGCCGGGATAATGGCACATAACCAGACAGGAGTGCTCTTGCCATGGGACTGCTAGTTCATGCAAATCCCTAGCTCTGAAGAGCAACAAGCCAGTAAGGTTTGCTAGGCCTCTATTAGGCTTTTCTGGGACTTGCTATGTGTAATGCCACATCCCATCCTATAATGGGCTCCAGTGAGATCATTGAGACCTGTTGTCTCAACTGTATTAACGACTGAGGGAAGTTTTCCCGTCCCTTTGCTCTAAGACTCAAAGCAGCGTGATACGCAATTTATCAGCAAGGTAACTAACCCACTGGCAGAAGTGTTGGGTACTACTCATTACACATTCTTTGCTACCTGAGCAGATCACAGTTACCATAGTTTTCTCTGTGTGTACATGGCCACACAGAAATGTATGTGGCCATATATAGCCAAAATTGACCAAAGCCATGTATTTTTTTTATACTATGGAAATGGGGGATATTTATATAAAAATATATGGCTTTGGTTAATTGTGCTGTCACTACAGCTGCAAAAAAGTCAAACTGCACTGCAAAATGCATAGTCTACATAGTCACATCATGTTAATCAAGGTGTTGCAGTCCAACTGGGCAGCCATACTTGAGCCTCAGCTTGGCAGGAAAGTGGAGGGAGCACAATGAAGCCAGAATAGGACATTAAAGTCTCCTTTAGCTCTCCCACGTTGGTGTAACTGGGTGGAAATACATGTATTAAGACAATCAGGTGATCATTTAACAATTATAATGAAAAAGCCATGATGTATGATAATAGGGTAATACGCAGAGCAGGAAAAAAAAAAGGCAAAAAAGAAAAAAGCAGAACCATCTACATGAATCTGTCACAGCTGAAGTGAAAACAATCGTCAGGTGGGACTGATCAAGGAAAGTCATGGATTCAAATGCAAAAACATAGTTCAATTATATTTCATTTATCACAACCTGCATTTGAAGATTAGATTTTCAACAGTTATGCTAAAGCAATCGATTTTATGGTGAAAGAGACAGATCCTCAAAGATCTGGAAACCATCTGTACCAAGATGTAACCTGTTTGCCCTACAGCTGGAAAAGGATTCCCACTCAGAACAGCACAGAAAACAAGGACTGGAAATTTATTTCTTCATCACAGCATCATGAGAACCCATAAAGTACAGTCATAAAAACACTTGTTACCCTCAAACAAGATTCTGCAAGTATGCCATAGCACGGTTGTATCAGTTTTTTCTGATTTTCATCCTAAACATGCTTGTCAAAAGCAATCAGGGTAACATTTAGACTAGTAACTATTACACACTGTGCTTTTTTGAAGTAAGATACACTAAAACAAGTGCTATTAGGTTTTTTTAAAGCAGTGAGAAGTCGCTTTTTGCACCACATACCATATTTTTGTCTGTCATTCTAATAGACCTCCTGCAGCTACAGCCTGGATTATGAAATGACAATACAGGACCAACAAGGCTAACATTTGAACACGTGCAAACTGTGACTACTTCAAGCACATGCTGGAGGCCAGGGTAAGGGAACAGAAGGGCAAAACACATCACTTACCTGGGCTTCTCTGACAAGCTGAGAAGAATCAGGCAGGCAGAAACCAATGGGTAACCCAACCTTCGCTGGGGTTTTGAATTTGTCTCCTATCTTAAATGGGACATCATCAAGATAACTGAAGGGCCCTAGGATCAAAAGCAGAAATTGCCTTAGGAGTTTAACGCATTCAATTAAGACTCACATTTGTATATTTGGGAGCTACTTTATCTCTGCTGCCCCAGCTACACCAGATGACTCAATACAAAGGAAGTTTCTTGATCAGATGCACACTGAATCTGTTTGGACTTCACTGCCTCAGTTTTGAGGCTTCAGTTTTGGGGTTCTTTGGGTTTTGTTTTGGTTTTTTAAATGTTCTAGCCTGCAACTATTTAAGAAATAAAAACAACAACAATAAAAAAAAAAACAACAAATCAAACAAAAACCCACACAACCTAATAATCCAACAATTGGAACAGATTTTGAACTTGATGTACCAAACTTCTTAGCTCCCCTTGTGACAAAACCACATCACAATTGGAAGCTGAAATTCTCCTGAACACTGTTACTCTGTTATGTCTGTATAAAAAGATCCATCATTTTCTGTCATATTCAAAAGAGGCTTTAAAATGACCCAGCTTTATCACAGCTGCGACAAACTAAAATCCAGGTTTTGACATACACACAGGAAGTAATATTTGGACAGAAGTGGTCATAAGGGCAAAGTGGCCCAAAGTCTCGACATGCCACTTTAGCCAGAACGCAGAAACATCTCAAGACTATTTAGTATAGCAGTTCCGATTTTTGAAATAAGGCAATGTAATTTAATCAGCTATTTGATTTCTGGTCACTCCACGAGAAGACTCAGACCTATTTCATGGTCCTCTGTCTGTCCTTTATCACTTATGCATGGTATTTAAACAGAATTTTAGGATTAAACTCCTCAGGCACTGTGCAAAATCATGAAGCAGAGTCACTTAGAGCTCAGCTACCTCCAAGAATCACAGAATCAACTAGGCTGGAAAAGACCTTTAATATTGCTAAGTCCAACCATTCCCCAGCACTGCCAAGTGCACCACTAAACCATGTCACTGAGGGCCTCATCTACATGCTTTGTGATCACCTTCAGGGACGGTGACTCCAGCACTGCCCTGGGCAGCCTGTTCCAATACCCGAGAACCCTCTCTGTGAAGATTTTTTTCCCTAATCTCCAATCTAAACCTCGCCTGGGTGCAGTTTGAGGCTGTTTCCTCTTGTCCTGTCACGTGTACTTGGGAGAAGAGACCGACCCCACCTCACTACAACCTCCTTTCAGGCAGTTGTAGAGAGCTATAAGGTCCCCTCTGAGCCTTCTCTTCTCCACACTAAACTCCCCCAGGTCCCTCAGCTGTTCCCCATCACACTTGTGCTCCAGACCCTTCACCAGCTCCATTGCCCTTCTCTGGCCCCGCTCCAGCACCTCAATGTCTCTCTTGCAGTGAGGGGCCCAGAACTGAGCACAGGATTCGAGGTGCACCCTCACCAGTGTCCAGTGCAGGGGGATGATCACACTGCCCTGCCACACTGGTGCTGATACAAGCCAGGATGCTAGAGGATTCTTGGCTGCCTGGGCACAGAAGAAGTCAAGTTAGGCTTTTACTTCAGGTTTGTTTTCCTTGAGCTGCTGTGTAGAAGTAGTAGAAAACCACCAATGTAAGTTGCACTTAGTTTTTCAATTAACCAAAAGAGGTCTCTTGGACCACTGGTCTAAGATTTTGGAATTACAGGCAAGGTTTCTGGCTGTATCTCAAGTGTGCCTTTAGCACTGCCTGTGACTTCACTTTGTTGCAGATCCAAAAAGACATTAGTGGCAACATCTAAGATGGTTTTCAGTGACTAACCTCTTGCTCAGTGAGCTGCGACTTGCCATTTTTATCTGACCCATTTTCATACTCAGATGACAGTAAGTACTGTTTGTGTTCCCTCACTGTTGACTCACGTACAACAAGGCAGCCACAGGCTCAGAAAGGACAAACAGCTTTCGCAAACAGGAACATCCTGTTAATTTGGAGTTAAACGTTTATGTGCTGTCCTCACTTGAGCTCTCATACTACGCACTGCACTGGCTGTTCCCAGAGTCCTCTTAGGACACACGTGGCACTTCCTCCAGCTTTGAAACCATCAGGCTGAATAACCTCCATCCTACCTGCACCACTAGCATGAAAACGTGTTCCAGGCAGAATATAACAGTGTTTTCATTGATCCTTACTGAGAAGCACACGTTCAAGCATTACACAGCACAACATCCAGCTGGCACCTAACTGGCCACCAACACCACTATTTGCCACACAGCATCCAAATTGCATTTCAGCTGACAAATCTGAGAACCTGGATATGCCAAAGTGTTTTCTTATGCAGAAATACCAACTGTGGCAGCCTTTGCACTGAGACTGGCAAGCCATGGCCAGGTCAGAGACAGCAACCAGATCTCCTGACTCCTTGGTCTGGTGTGACTGCTGCTACTATAACTTGCTTAGTCCTGCTTAGATCAGGACTTGTGCCAGAGGATGATCCGAGTGATGATCCAGGATTATTACTCTCTGCACCAATCTCACAGCCCAAACTGCTAAGCGTGCAAATACTTGTCTTACTAGACATACTGATGCTGTAAGTGGTAGACACCTCTCATTTACAGCTGCACAAGTGCCTGAAATAGATACTAGCCACAGAGGGTACAAGCACACACTGTGGTATTTACACAGCAATGCTTTGTTTTGGTGCAGTAAAAACCTGAACACATGAAGACTAGATGGACTGCATTGGTAGCTGCCAGTTTAACCTCAGAAGCTGGACTAAGGAATAAAAACCTTCCAGTGTCTTCCCAGTATACTGATTTTTTTTTAAATAACGACCACTGCTATAACCTTATTTTGAATATAACTGCTTCAAAACCCACAAGCACACATTAAGGGACACAGCAGGTGTTTTAGGACATTTGATGGTGAAGTCTTTCTGAGGCAAAACACTGATGTACATAATATTCACCTTGTTCCAGCTGAATCAGAATAATACTAGTTTAGTAAAGTTAAAATCTGATCCAGAAAGCCAAAAACTCTTTTGTGTTTGTAAACAGATGAACCTTCTGCCTGAAAACACTGATGGGTAAGGGTAAAAACTGATATAAATGGCAAATTCTAAAGCAATAAGGAAAACCTACATATAGAAAGTATTATGCAAGCCACTGTTTCAATAGTTCAAGTGAAGTAGTTAAAGGGGTTTTTGAATTGCTATTTAATATGGTGGTCAGCCACTTCATCCTTTCAGCAGTTAAAAGCAGGAAGTTCTGAAAATAGGCCTGGCAAAACTGTACCTGTCAGTCCAGTCTCTGACAATACACACTATATCATATTCCTGGCCCAAGGAATTAACTACAAGAGTAAGATTTCTCTCCACTTTAGTGCACTGCAGAAGACACTGACCAACTCATAAAAGCATCTTCCAGGTTGGTAGCAAAATGGAAACATTTCAGGGAAAACCAGTTACCAGCTATGAATAGCGAACAGTTTTGAAACCAAGCAGAACTTAGTATGTGTGGTCACACAAACCAAACTTACATAATTTTCAGAAATAAGGAGTTAAAAGCTCTCAGGTTGTACAGTGACAGTGACAATACAACAGTAATGTTAACACCCGTGTGTAACCCACACTTTCTGTGCAACAGATGAGAGCTGCATTTCTAGATGCCCCTAATTACTAGAACTTAAGCTTGAACTTCCAATTATTCAAATGACAGGAGAGCATCTGAAGTTACATGGTTAGGCATAGTTACAGGTGTGTGCTAAGAATACTCTCAGAGACAGGAAAAGGGTTCCCTTCTCTCCACCCATACCTTATGTTCTCGTTTTCATCTGAAGAGGGTGCTGAGCAACCTGCTCTATATGACTCTGCTTGAGCAGGAGGTTTGGTCACTTTGATCTCCAGAGGTCCCTTTTAACCATTCTGTGATCCAGTGGCAGTCCTCTAACCTCTAATAAGCAGCTCAACAATAAATACAAGACATGAATCAACTATGTTGAGCAACTTCATCAGCCTCTCAAGAGTCACCAAGCTAAAGGGAGGTGTTAGCTAGATGCTTTACAATAAGCCAAAATTCACTTAGTGGGATTAATTCTTAAATAACCCTGGAGAAGACTGAAACAATTGCCCTGCTGAAAAACACAAATGCCCTTTCTTAAGATATAATAACTCAAGGAAGTTGCTCCACTACTCCTCAGAAACAGTACTGTGACAGTGTTGCTGGCATCATTAAAAACACAAGATGGTAGAAGAGTTAACCAGCCAGCAGCTTGCGGCACCATTTGATGCGACTGTCATATTGAAGCCAGAAGCGTCTTCCACCACACCATACTCTTTTGAGAAGTATTTGAGACAGGCTGAATTCTAGCTCTGAGCAGTGTCTCTACCAGTCTGGTTTAGGAAGCAGAAGAGAGAAGAACAGACTCAAAAGACAAGCAGTTCAGAGTGTTCCAGAGACCATTCACAGATAAAAGAGCAACTGCTGAAGACCTAGCAGCTATCTAACAAAGAAATTAATTGTCTTGCAGCAGGATCACTGGGCCACAGCAAAGGAGACTGACTAAAAATTAAGTTTTGATAGGCCATTTTTTTTAATCCTTAACCATGAATTTAAGTGAGGAATTTCTTACTCTGTACTTCAACTTCACACTTGCAGAACTTAACAAAAAGGTCAAGGAAAAATGGAATTCCTCAGGACTCTCTTACCTGAAAGATTATCCAGGAAGAGAAGGCTGACTTTCTAAAAGCAGAACTTTTTATAGCATGAAAAATCATGTTGGAATTTTCACATGAATGTCCCAGTACCAGCTTGAATGATTACTGATTTGAAGAAGCTACATTACATACCAATTGAACTTTAATGTTGCACAGAAATATTAATCCTCTCAAATTACATCCCATTTTCTAAAAGATCAGCACATACAGAGGCAAATAATTATGATACCAATCATCTGCATGACATTACACATCTCAAATTTAGAAGATAGCTGAATGAGATTAGTCCAATTTAGGAATAATAAAAAAAAAATCACTGCTGAGCAAAAACCAAGCATATCTCAATGATGTATTAAAAGCTTCACTTTCAAAGACACAATTTCTCATGTGACTTTCACAGAAAGGAGCTACAGATCTAGTGTCCACTTAACTACCACCAGACAAGTATCACAACTGCAGTGCAGCTTTGATTTTGAAGGGGTAAGTGTGGGAAAGAGAAGGTATTATTCTGCCATGAAGGAGTGGGGAACAGTCACAGGATGAATTTCAGTTTAACCAAAACAGGCACAGCAACAGGAAGCAACTATGCAAGAAGGAAGCCAAGGCACCTCATTCTTAACAAAAAACTACTCAGAGGCTAAACAGATTAGTCCCTATGGACTGTTTAGGCAGGGACATTAGTCAGCAGCAGTAGCAGGATTGATCCTATTGGAAAAACAAGGATGTCAATTTTCACTCACCATGAGAGTCGGAGCCCAACTTCTTAGAAGCCATTTAGAACCTAAGGAAAAAAAAAGAAAAAACACCACCATTTTAAAACAGCTTTAACAACTTTACACATGTAGCATAGCATAAGCCCATGCAGTTCTACAGCATCTTACTTCTGGATTATGGGACTTGTTACAGGCACTTGCTGTTTATCCTGTTTGCAAGATAAACTTATTTTACAGCCTTGAAAATTAACTGATGAGACACATCTTAGACCAAGGTCTGACAATCTAAATAGAAAGATGAAGGACACCCCCACCCACCCCAAACCACACAAAAAGCCAATAAAACCAGCCAAGAAGCAGCCAAGGATGATCAGGAAGACATACCTCCAGATCCCAGTGCCCAGAGACCATTCTGTCCCAGACCTGTGGAGCACACCCTGCCTACCCTGGTATTAAGAATAGCCCTTCCTACTGGAAATACACTGATCCTCTTGAGTTTAATCCTTGCTGCTCTAATAAAGGGATACTATCATACTGGATACACAGTCAGTTAGCCTGTGTCTAGACTGGCACTTGTCTAGACACACTGGGTAATGCACAGGTAACAACAGGTATACAATAAATGGTACCATTAGGGAGATATTTTCAGATACACACAAGAAAATAATTCTAACAACTGTCCTCATCCATTGCCCACAGAATTTTACTAACAACTTTTAAAGTTTGGATGCTAATCCTACATGGCCAAGATGTTAAAACACAGAAATGCCTAATTAGCTTTTAACACAGAGCAGGCCTGTCCTGAGAAAGAGTTAAGACAGTTGTCTCATTAGTTGTCAGTTAAAACCCTACTCAAGGATGCTTACGGTGTTCAATACCATAATGGATTCTTTTTCTAGATTAGAAGTACAATACAAGATCCATCTCTAGACACCAGAGCATAATTCTTCAAATAGCTGAACTTGTAAGTCCTCTTTTGACATTAGCATGACCCAGAATCAGAGCTGCCCTTTGTTCCTGAAGTCCTCCAGCTCACAGATGGAAATGCCCAACAGCCATTCCTCAAAAACATGAAGTCACCTGGTGCAGCCCCACCAGCAGCAGACAGCACTCAAAGCACAACTTGAAGCAGATCTAACATTCACACCATCACTCCTCAGTCAAGGTGAAACTCTTAGCCTCACTGTTTTCACTGCAGATTCCAACTGTAAATGTTAACATAAAGGAAGGGTTTCATAAGGTGAGGATTACACAGACAGCTTAGCTATTCCTCCTGGCAGCTGATGACGTAACTGGGGTCAAGAAGAGTTAGTTCCAAGTACCTCAGGAAATTACATTTTGCTCTGCAGAGGTCCCTTTCAACACTAGATGGAAATCAACTACGTACACCAACCCTACTGGTTACAGGAACTCAACATACAGCTAAAGCCAAAGCTCTATGTAGAAGGTTACCTGGGTGCAAGTGAATTAATAAAACATGGTGAGCAGATGCTAGGCTATGGGGAAGTGAGTCATGCTGGGCAACTCCAGGCATACCTTGTACATAAAAGCTGTTAGTCATTCGATGTTTATCAGGTTCTTTGGGAAGTTCATCATAAGGCAGCAACGTATGCTTGCAGCCCAAAACACCAACCCTATGCTGGACTGCATCAAAAAGTGTGACCAGCAGGTCAGGGGAGGTAACTCTCCCTCTCTGCTCCACTCTCATGACATCCCCCCACAGTCCTGTGTCCAGGTCTGGAGCCCCAGCATTAGAGGGATGTGGACCTGCTCAAGCAAGTCCAGAGAAGGCCATGAAGATACTCCGAGGGCTGCAGCACCTCCGCTGAGAGAGCTGGGCTTGTTCAGCCTGGAGGAGAGAAGGCTCCAGGGAGACCTAGTAGCAGTCTTCCAGTACCTAAAGGGGGCTACAAGAAATCTGGAGAGGGGCTTTTTACAAGAGCATCTAGTGACAAGACACATTTAACCTGCCAGAGGGGAGATTGTGATTAGCTCTTAGGCAGAAGCTCTGCCCTGTGAGGGTGCTGAGGCGCTGGCACAGGTGCCCAGAGAAGCTGTGGCTGCCCCATCCCTGGCAGTGTTCACGGCCAGGTTGGACACAGGGGCTTGGAGCAACCTGCTCTAGGGGAAGGCGTCCCTGCCTATGGCAGGGGGTTGGAACTGGATGAGCTTTAAGGTCCCTTCCAACCCAAACCATTCTAGAATTCTATGCTTATCAGCACATCTCTCAACATTGGTCTTGCATCCAAGACTACCCTATTAAGCTAGAGAACTGGTTTTGGCACTAGCTGGCAACTGCTTCTCAGAAATTAACAAAACACTGAGGTTTCAAAGATGTTATGAAAGAGGAGGTGAAACACTGACAAGCCCGCTGCCTCAGGAAGGCTCTCAAGGACAAAGCCACAGCACCACCCACTTACAGTTGTGTGTAAACTACTAGAGCTCAATGGGCTTTACCAGTCCCAGCACTGCAGAAGAGGAGACCAGACTGCAGGATGTGAAATAGGCTGCACCTTTCAGATCTAGATCACACAGTCAGAAAAGCTGCTACATTGCTAGTTCCTCTGCATGACAGCAGCAATTAAGACATCAACCTGATTTGTTATTATCAAAAAACCCAGGCCACATGTGAAATCACACAGCCTTCAGTATGCCTCACCAGTCTCCTCTATGTCACCAGAGTCGGTGAAGCACTGCCTGCAAGCATGTGCTATGGCTGCCCATCATCCACTACTATTTCAGTGGAGCTGAACCAGGGAGCAGCTCTTCTTCACACCTCACAGAATGAAAAGCAAGTGATCCTTTTCTGTAAGATTTTAGAACTTCTGATGAGAGCAAGTAACCTCCTCATTTTGGCAACTCAACTGACAAGGAAGTCTTTTCAATGTAGCACCAGTTATCTGCAGCAATAAGGTCTATACTGTCTACCCCATTTACCAGAAGCAGCTTACTCCAGATGGTACCTACATAAAGGACAGTGAAAAGAAAATTCAAAGAGAACATTTTCAGAATGTTAATTTATATTACCCCCTCTCCAGTAGGCTGCTGCAAGGACACACAAAGTTACCACCTTACATACTGATCTCAGCTAACTGAATGCCAAACTACTGTGATGCAATCAATTTGCTCCAGGGACATCAGTAGCAATGCATACAAATCCCACAGAACCAAAGACCGGCATATCTAGCACCTAGGGAGTTTCACAGTAGTCTATCAATCTGGAGCTGCATAAAGCCTTGGATGTGTTACCAATGTCAAAACACCCCACTTAAGCAGGAAGTATGTTGCTTTTTTTGGCAATCCTGTAGTAAAATCCTAGTGCACACCAGGCACCTCTATTAACTTTAAGGTGCAATAGGAAAACGGATTCCTCTGCCATATGCAATAACTTACCTTAAATAGAAAATTAGCTTAGGCATATCAATAGGAAGCTAATAATGAATTTACTACTTCCATAGAGATAGTCATACTTTAGATTCAGGTAGCATCTGAGTTTTTCATCACACCAGCTCTTCCCAATGCACTGTGAGCATGCACTCACTAAGATACCATTACTGCAGAAGGCACTGTCAGCAAACAGAATTGTTAAACACTGCACACAGTGATGCTAGGACATGTTGCCAACCACATTTCATCACCTCCATTCCAAAGAGGGTTTAATTAAAATAGTGTCTTGTGACTAATCAGATTCGATGAGCTATTTGGGGACCACTGTATCAAGCATCTTGCTGTTGCCCTGTCCTGCTGGATGGAAAAACCCTATATTTGCAGCCAGTTAGAAGATTAGTGATGTTGCCAGTACACTTCTGGGCATTATCTGAACCGTTACTTGCTCAGTCAACACCATTTCACTGTGCAGTAAAGGTTTGCTTAACGTTGTTACTGCTCTTTTACAAATTTAAAGGACTTGCTCACAAAGCCTTATAGGCTAACAGATGACTGCAGCCCTATCACTGTTGCCTTTGATCGCCAGGCTCCATAACAGGATGCTGAAGGGCATCAGTGGCAACGGTGCATGGATGCACATTTCAAACTGACAAAAGAACATCCTCTACTGCATGTGAACTTTTTCAACACTTTTGCTGGGCTAGGTAAACAAGTTAGTTGCACAGTACCACAAGGTTTTCTTACGGCCACCTACAAGCGCTCTTCTATAAATTTAGACCTCCTTAGCCCCATTACCTTGCTTTTGGTTCTGGATAACTATCCAAAGAGAATACCTGTGTAGCAAGTGTCTAAACGTCATAAGAAACTTGAATGGCAGCAGCCACTGAAGCAACCTGATGTGAACTCTTCCCTTCCTGTATGTTCATTTTTCACTTAGTAACACTGAGGCAATAGGGCAACATTCTTAAAGACAGACAGCCAGAGGAACACAGCATAGCAGAGCCCAGGATGAGGGCAGAGAACCTTGAAGTGATGACAGAAGGGGATAGGGGGACAAGGAAACAACCAGAACAGCAAAAAATTCAACACAAAGGTACAGAAACAGAGAACTGACAAGATAACACTGACGACAGAAACAAGTGGCACAGAGAGATAGATGACAAGCTGGAAAGACTTGAAGGGACAGCACTGACATGACCAAGGCAGCACCTGGCACTTCACAACTTAAACCTGAATGACTACTTTGCTATGCTGCCAGACAGGAGAACACAGAGGACCACGACTTGGTGCAGCCAAGCAATACCAAAGGGACAGCTTCATCAACAGATAAGAAAAAGTTACCACCAAGACTGATGCATGAGGAGCTCTGGGAGCTTGGGGTGGTTTTTAATTAATTCCATGTTCTTTCTATTGGTGTTTTCTCTGGAGTTTGTATCTACATTCCTCTTCTGAAAGAGCTCCGATGGAAACATCCTACCACTAATGGTACCTACAGCTTTCTCAGTGATAACTCAAGCCAGTTTAACTATTTGTCAGAAGGAACTGGTCTCTTGTTGCTATATCCCTCCTTCTGGGGTGCAAGTACTTCTAGATTCCAGACACGTGAATTCTCTGAATTAACTCCAACCTAAGATTCAGGTAAATGAGAAATGTACTTATTATGGGTCACAAGAA